GCTACTGGAAGAGCGCCAACTGCTGTGTTCGAAAATTTTTTGGAGGAATGGAGGGTTTTTTTTTTTTGGAATTTTTTGGAAGAATGAAAGGAAAAATGAAGAATTTTTTGGAGGAAGGAAGGAATTTTTGGAGGAGTGGAGGGAAAAGGAGGAATTTTTTGTAGGAATGGAGGAAAAAAATTTTTTTGGAAGAATGTTGAAAAGCTATTTTGATTGAATATTTGCTACTTTACAACTGAATGCAAACAAAAACAGACGGCTGTGGAACGGAAAGATAAGTAACAAAGCAAACAGAAGATGCCCTGCTACCACCTGAATATGCATGGATGGGCTGTACTGCCACCGTTATTTCTGGCCATCTGAACACGTTTTTTTTATGATTGATGCATACTTTGACCTCTCAGCGCGTTGCACTTGCGGCCGTTATTCAACTGATAAGAACTGGCGAAACTGGATCCTATAAAACAACTGATATGAAGCTACTTGCTGGTAAGATTTCCTTCGAAAGAACCGGACAGCATCGGAATGTTAATCGCTTTCTTCTTGCTCCTCAGCAGCTTCGGCTTATCAGCTTCTCGTTCAGCTACGGTTTGAATTTTTTAAATTAACCTCATTTTGACTCGTAAAAATACACTTTTTGTTGAGTGGATAGTAGGAGTAGAAAGATTCAACTTAGGTGTCATGTACAAAAAGACATTTTACGATGCAGTCTGTATTTCATCCCTTAGCTGTAAACACAGACTGGACTATGCATCCCATACTTTCCATACTTTAAGTGTTAGTTTTACTTCAAAATTAACAGAACTGCAATATTTTTATAATTTGAACAGTTATTGTTTCGTCATCGCATTTCTTCATCTTACCAGTTAGTGCAGCTAGCAAGCAACATCTTTATCTTTATTCTTTATGTTGAGCCTTCCTCATCCACGTTATTCCATGCGATGGCGAGAGCTAATTAGACCATTGCTCCGATGGTCTTCCCTGTCTTCTTTTAAGCTTGCTTCGGCATCATTAAAGTTACTGCCATGAAAGATGTGATGCTGTAGTGCTTGTAGAAGAAATTATGCGAAGAAGAGCTGGAAAAAAGTCGTATTTACCTCGAAAGTATCCGAGGAAAGATGCTAGGAAAAGAAGAGCAAAGACGCGATCAACGAATTCAAGCAGTGAGCAAGAAGTTACCAGATGCAATCACAGTTACCAGATGGAATGATCGGGCAAACACATTCGATTGCCCGTCAGAACCAACAACAACTGCGTAAGTATTTTCGAATGATCCGTTGATTTGAATTAGTTTTTTTTTCAGATCCAGTAACTTTATCTTCCGTTAATTTTGACTACACTTGTGCAGTCTTCAATTATTTGGAAGATTACAAGCCCAATACTTAACCCACTGGTTATGGCACTGTTGCAATCAAAAGAGCTAATCGTTAGAAACTCTTTTTGTAGAGCTATTTTTATGTTACTTTTTCCTATTTTTATGTTTTTTTTTAAATCTTTTACGAAAATTTATTTCGAAGATAACAAGCTCAATACTTAATCCACTGGTTACAGTACTGTTGCAATTTAAAGAGCTAATCATCAGAAACTCTTTCTGTAGAGCTGAAATTTTATTTTTTTTAAAATCTATTTTTACGAAAAGCGTTGGTTTTTTATTAAATAATTCTTGAAGTATTTCACTGTAGTCTGGAAAAAGCAGCGTTCGAGACGAATTGGTAATGCTCGGCACCAGAAACATCTCAGAAGCCTAAAATCTTTCTAAGTACTTGTGCCTGGAGAAGTATTGAGCTGACAATTTGTTCAAAAGATGAAACGAAAGTTAAAATCGCCAGTAAACTAACCATCAGGCGATGCAACATTGATCAGGACAACTGGAAAAGTTGCCAGTTGCGTATTTTGACAACCACACTTTGGTTGCAACGGACCAAAATGTCAAAATCAGTAATACTGATTAATTTTTATGCAGCCAGAAATAACTTTTCAAAAAGTCTTTCTTCCAGAAGAAGTATGGACACTGATAATACAATGCAGGAAAATGATTTTAGCCGCTTGGGTATTAATAGCGTAACGGATCCAGTAGAGTTCCTGGTCAACAGCATGCTGGTAAATGAGTATTAATTTTTTATGCATTTTTTGCATAAATATGCAATGTAAAAATGCTTACTGTCGAAGGGTTGTCTACGTGGGTTTATGTGTGATATGTGTGTCTGTACCGAATTTTCATCTCGAGAACTATAAAAGCTACAAGGCTGGAACTTTGGTAACTTAATCTGTACGCATGTTCGGGCCCTTATCCCCGAAATGGACGCTCATGCTCACGCACGACTCACATATAGGCACGTGAAAGTTTTTGACGGTTAAGTTGCTAACTCGGGAGCCAGAGAAATTAGAGAGCTAAAATTTTGAGGGAATGTTTTCTGACAGTCGTTATGGTCAATTTCATTCCTTTTACCTAGGAGCATCTGCAGGAAAAAACTGCCGTTTTTTGACAGGTAAGTTGCTAACTCGAGAACCAGAGAAACTAGAAAGCCGAAATTTTGAGGGAGTGTTTTCTGACAGTCGTTTTGACCATCTTCAATTTTTTACCTAGGAGCATTTGCCGGAAAAAACAGTGCCGTTAGCGACAAAAACCTGTGCAAAAAGCGCATTTTCGCACCAGCAGTCGGTATGCTGGCCAATTATATTTTTCATATCTACAGGTGACAAATGCTTTGATCAGCTGCAGTTCACCGTAAATTAATGGACACTGACGACATAATGCCAGAAATACAGTGATCAGAATCCTCTAACTTTGCAGCTGATAAATGCTCCATTTGCTTTGACCTGTGCTGCTTCTTCCGATGATCAGCCGGCTAGTAACATTGACACTCGTTTTCCTCTTAGAAGAATTTAACACCTCAAAAATTTTTGTGACAGAAAAATTCGCAAGGTGACAGTTAAAAAGTAATAATTTTTGATTTATGATGGGCAGGAGTGATTTTGAATTCTTTTCTGTCATTATTTTTTTGCAGCACTTCTTATCAGATCCAAAAGGTGCATGTGATGGGCCACGTTTTCGTGATATTACTACTGTAACCAGTCAACAATTGGGAGCATTTTTATCGATATTTGCTGTTAGTCGTGGCTTACCGTTGTGCTCAGTTTGCGATAGCATGGTTAACAAAGCAGAAGCTGTCCTTTTTGAGCCAGGTTCTAAAGAACTACCGGTAAGCTGTCTTTATATTGTGCGATATACAGCTTATATTGTGCGATGTGCAGCTAATTTTTGAAAAATTAATTTCTGTGACAAAAATAGGACAGAAAAAAATTTGTTAGCAGGCAAGTTTTAGTTTATTTGCTGGTTTCCGATAGTGAAAAGCAGTTTGGGTGCCATCGGCGACTTCTGAGGGGTTGTCTGTGTGTGTGTTTGTGTGTGTGTGTGTGTGTGTGTGTGTGTGTGTGCGTGTGTGTATGTGTACCGACTTTTCATCTCGAGACCTACAACACCCATAAGGGTTTGAAATGACTTGGAAACGAAGTAGTTAATGGAAACACTGTAGATAAGTTCCTGAAATTAAATTGCAAAGCTTTGGCTTCGAAATATCCATATAACTATTGTTCAACAGCTGCATTTAAGATTATTAAGTCATGACAAAGACTCCCTGCAATCCCACTTAATCTTGGAGAAGCGAAGGTACTCGGAAGTAACCTTAATGGCATAGATGGATCCAGAGCGGTTTCCTAGGGAAGGCGATTTAATCGATTTTTGTCCAGCCTC